CTTTACTTTAAAATATCTATTGTAAAAATAAAGGATAGTATCATTTACACTTAAACAAGAACTTTGGAAAATTTTAATCACAATAGCACATTTATCATTTAATTGGGCATCATCTAACTTATCGTTACTTACATCAAAATACTTATACTGACTCTGTATTGCAATGTTAATCTTCCATAAATCAGAGCTTTCTTGAATATATATTAATTATAATGAATAACTATACATTTGAGTGAATCAGAAGGATAACCAGACAATTTTTATATTCAGCAAGCACAAACTTACTGTGCTTAAATCCCAAACTGTATATAGTTAATTGCAGCTTTTTTATCAATATCTACTTAAAAATAAAATCAGAGTGATTTATACTTTATATTATCAGAAATATGAAACATTTCACCTACAGATGTACATACTCACTTATTCTGGATGAAAATTAGCTTCTAGCTCCCCAAGATTTTACAATTAAAGCATGGGCAGAAATGCCCACATTTGAGTGTCTGACCTAGAATGGGATGTTATTTACTAGGTTATCCTATTAATGGGTCAAGAACACTGCAAACCTATAAATAAATCTGATTGCCAGGGATGGTAAGGCTTTAAGCATTTTAGCTTTCACACTTGTTAGCAATTGAATTTATCCATAATCCCTGAAGCCTCACAGCTTTACAGATGCCTATTTTTATCTATTTAAGTTTGCTCTTCAAAATATTTAAGAAATATAATACCATGAATATAAGGACATTAACTAGCTGATGTGGTTAAAGGATCTAAGAGGAAAAGTGCTGAGGTCAACAAAACAATCCAAAGTGCACAGACCAGTGCCAAAACATGTCCATTCAGCACACAGACAGGAATTTTAAGTATCAAGGGTTAAATCATTTGGCTCCACAAATACTTTCTTACATCTTTTTAAGCTTGGATTGTCCTTTGTTCCAAATATCTCACGATATATAGAGAGAGTACTGCCCTGTCAAAGCTCAAAAATTTGGGTCAACATACTGCCTTAGAAGGTTATTTATTTCAATCTTGTCTAGGAATTAGTCCTTATATTTATAGTATCTAAGCCTGTCATGTTAAATCCACATAAGCTAAAGGGCTATTTAAGAGAGAATTTACTGCTGTAAAGGGCTCAACCTCCTTATTCCATTATCATCTGCTTGCTGAGTCTAAAAGACACATGCTTCATTAAGTTACTTAAAGGTTTGAGTTCAAAACAATTGCTTTAGTTTCTGATTGTCAATTGCACATTAATTTGTTAGCTGAGTAGAGTAATATTTCAATTATCCAAGTAAGATGCAAACATCAGACAGTAAGATAATATCTGACATCAATAAGTTTACTCATGTTAGTTTTGGTGTTGATATATGATAATCATCAAACAGAATAAAGAAAATTATAAAGAAAAATTGATTTATGGGGAAATGTATGCTTTTATCAACATTAAATATATAGACCTTTTACAAAACTCAAACTATGCAAAATGTTAAATGGTCACAAGGTCACTAGAAATAAAGGGAGAAGTACATGATTAGATTAAACAATAATTTGATAACAAGTAGCTTCTACATTTGTCACTTTGGAATTCTATAAGAAAGATCCTTCATGTAGAATGAAAGATTTGATACGCATTAAGAAAGAAAAAGCCTCAAATCATGAATTTTGCCCATTAGCTCTTTTAACACTAACTCATTATCAAGAGGCTCATCTTAAATTATATGTACATGGTTAAACAAAATTGAATTGAGGAGAGGTTGCTGTATTAGCCTTTCTGTTTCCATGGTTACAGATGCTGTGTTGGATTTCTCTGGAGCCTGCTTTTAAAATGGAAAACTACAGTACATTAATATCACAGGAAGCTCAAAACTTAATATATCTCAAATATGCTTGAAATGCATTGCATGTATGAGTAAATCCATAGCATGCTCATGTGGGGTACTTTGATTTCCACTGTTTTCCTTTGCCTTTTTGATTGCCTCTTGATACCCCTGCATCCTCTCTCAATAACAGTAGAAAGTCTCTAGAGCAAGGGGTTTTATTTGTTTGTTTTTAATTTTGCTTTGTGTTCTTAGCACAAGAAACATAATTCAGATTTTATTTGTTAAAACTATTTTAGTGAAGAGAATGAAGCTATTTTCTGCAATGCTTTATAACCAAAGCATGAGCTATATATATAGTGCTAGACTAACATATTTGAATCTTGACTTCAATAATTAACTTGCTAAGTGACCTTAGGTCAGTCATTCCAATTCCAATGTAACTGTTTCTTTACTAACTGGAAAAAAAACCAGATTGAAGAGTGTACTGTCATTTAAAAATAGTAAAATTAACATAAGCTACTTAGAGCAATGTAACCACAGTGAAAAACAAGCTTTGTTATGGCTTCTTTCCAGACCCTCTGACTTAGGTATTTGCTAAAGCCCCACCTCCTGCATGCAAACAGTACTATGAGACTCAAAGGATATGACTGACTTGAGGTCCTGGGACTTTCTTCAATCTTCTATGCTCCCTATTCTATGAACATTGCAAAGACCCAAATCAATAACTGATATCTGTGGATAATATTTTTATATCAAGTATAGGCACTTGGTTGATTGCATAAGATGGATAATTCAAAATTAACACGCTATTGAGAGGAATTTACATACACTGAATTTTACTTTAAAAGGAAGTCAATTAGATTTATTTGATATGCACAGAGATTGCAATTGAATTTTTAAATTTGCTGAAAGCATCTAACTTTGTTTAATCAAATAAAGCTCAAGTGTGTTCAGGAGTAATCTGGTGGCCCCAGTGAGTTTCCCAAATGAGCTTTTTGAGTGTCTCCATCCCCAAGACTAAAAGGGAAGCACTTATTTCCTAACATATGCTCTTTGGACAGTGTGACTAATAATCTATATCAAGAAAAGACACTTTTCATTTAAAAGGGTAGACTTAGTTTATGGTTAATGAGAGATGAGAATATTAAGCATTTTTATAGAGGTTATCAATGGATTATCATAGCTTGTGTGGGAGAAGTGTTCTAGCTTAAAATGCATTCATATACATTCTGAGTATAAACCTCTGTAAAATCAATGCTAACATGCATATATTATATATTAGAAAGGAATTGCTATAAAATCCACCCCATAAAAACAAATCTAAGCAGAACTAATCAGTGACAGAAAGCACAGATGTCAAAATTTCTCTGAGGAGTGGATGGGGAGTGGTAAGACGGGTTGGGGTGGGAGAAAGGGAAGGCAGGGGAACTTAAAGTTGGTACATAAAATGAAGAAGTTGGTACATAAAATGAAGAAGTTTAAATAAAAAAACACACTGACACTATTACTACACGTAAAATTTTGGTTACTCAATTCAGGTTAAATATATGGGAACAGACATTCTATATAAAGAAAGGGATACAACTGTTGGAGGATAGAAATTTGGTCTACAGAACATTGAGATTTCTCTTAAAATTAGTCCTAAAAACAACTCCCTGTTAATTAATTTTCTTTTGTTGTTTTCTTTCTATAAAGCTGACCACCAAATATACTACACTGAACCTAATTAGCTATCATATATTTTACTATTGTATTATACAAAATTCTAACTAAATCTAAACTAATTTATTAATATTATTTCCTAAATGAATTGTTATTATTGTGGTCAAATACTTTTATCATAATCATTATTAAATTATCTTTGAACCAGAAACTCGTGCAACAGTAAGAAGAAAACTACAAATTGGGAGCACATATCATAAAGGAAATAAATCTTATTTTGAACAATTGATTATTTATTATGTATGCAGTATAATTATGCAATTGACCAATTTAAGTATTTTATAAATGGATGGTACACTCCTATGGATATCAAATCCATTTTATAACACTAAGATCCAAATTACTTATTTCACTTTTTCTTTTGTCTGCAAATTTTTAAAAGGCTATTGACATTTATTGTGTCTTACACAAATATATTGACTTTTGGAACAGTTGAGGGAATTCATCTATTTCTATTTATCCAGACATTTAAGGTAATTTATAAAATATCAGAAAACTTTCATCCAGTGACTGATGAAATCAGATGCAAAATCCACACCCCAAATTAGGTCAAGCTTGGGGAAATGCTGCTGAAGAGTAGGAAGGAGGGTTATAGGAGACAGAAAGGTCAGAGTCATCACAAGAAAAGCCACAGAAACAACTAACCTGGCCCATAGGAACTCAGAGAATCTTAACCAACAACCAGGGGATATGCATGGAAATAATCTGATTTGGTATACTTGTGGGACTCCTAAAAATAGGAGCAGGGGCTGTCCCTAATGCTTTGGCTGGTGCTTGGAGACCCATCCCTAATATTGGATTGCCTTTCTCAGACTTAATACAAGGGCAGGTGCTTAGTCTTATAGCAACTTGATACGCCATACTTTGTTGATACCTATGGGAGGCCTGCCCTTTTCTAAACAGAGAAATAGCAGATGAGAGGCTGCATAAGGGAAGTGGGGGAAGAGAATGGGAGGGAATGAAAGAGGGGAAACTGGTCAAAATATAAAATAATAAATAAATAAATAATAACTGATGACAAATTTTCTATTGGAAATACATTTTATTTTTCAAATATCACATCAAAATTTGGCTGCATAATTTTAGTGGTTTGCTGAACTTTAAATCTCAAATTGGCTTTCATTTCGGAAGACATTAATGGTTATAACACTTAGGAGCAAAAACTACTGGAAATTCAAAGACAAAATTAAGAGAATAAGTTTAATTGACCAAAACACTGACTGTCGGTAAAGAAACAATAAAATACTATTTTCTCAGTCTTAAACTTCCCCTTAGATTAGAGTTTCTCACATTGAAAACCTTCATGGTCCTTGAAAAAAAAATGAGAAATCATTTAAAATAGATGCATTTAAAAACCTTACAGTATTTTATTCACAACGTAAAAAAATATTGAGTTCCTTATAAATTGCTCCATTTGCAAAATATATTTATAACTTAAGCAAAATAAATAATTCATACCTCACCAAGTGAGTAATAACGTCTTGGGATCTGGGAATCTGGATAGATGTTTTCTAGGTACCAAGAAAAAGGCTTACACTTCAGATTTTCCCTTAGTGTTTTTCTGACTGACACATCTCCATAATCCACTTTGACAACACCTGGAATGTTTCAGAAAAACACAAATCAGTTTGTACTAATTTAGCACTATTTCAATCTGTTTACTGAGCTATCAGTTTTCTTCACAATTCCTCAAAACTCAAATACATGAACAGTTATCACTAGCTGGCTTTCTCACTCTCATCCAATTAGAACACTAAACAAATATAGAAAAACATTTATTTTATTACTTATGAGATTTGAAATGTAAACATTTGCTGCAAGGTACTTGTAATTCTTGGAATGAAAAATTATCAGCGAAATATAAATTAGTGTTAATTTAGTATCTAATAAGCAAACCGTAACTCAACTATATAATACACCTTTTATAATTAATGAAAACTTCATTACTTTGTTAATGCTCATATTTTCCCTATAGAGTCATTTTTGTTCTTCAGAAGATTTTATGGAAAGTTTATGTAAAAAAGATCCTCAAAGCGGACTGTACATATGTTCTATTATTCTTCTTGTACTCTTATCTAAGCTTACTATAGACTGTGTTCATTATTTATTGATTTTATCCTATTTTATGAGCCTTCAAGCATCACCTTAAGTCATTGAAAAATTAATAAATAATTAAATATTAAGAAACTCGCAAATACAATATGCAGGAACATACCCACGTATTCACTTGGTTTTGTTTAAATCTTATACCTTTACTTCAGTTAACACAGACTAGTTTAGTTAAAATATTGCACTGGTGGTCAGACAATGATGTTTTCTTTTAGTAACAAAATCAATAATACCATAAATGTCTATATAAATTATACAAGAGTAACTTTATTTCTCCGTTATTTTTCATATTAAAACATTTGACTTAAGTGTTTAAATGTGTTAAGATGGTAATTATTTGTTACATTATTTTGCAAATATGTCAATTATTAACTAATTTATTTAAGGCTGATAACTCTCAGATGTTAACACACACACACACACACACACACAAAACAAATTGTTGTATCTAGGCTGTTGCATGCCAAAAAAGTATCAAAGCCCACAAAGCTACTCTAAAGTAAGCAATAATTGCTTAGACACTGGTGTCTGTGACAAACCTTGTCATCAGGACACAGTTTTCAAAAGCAACTACCCTCCAAAGCCCATTATCCATGAGTTCTATATTCTGCGTCTCTTGAGAATCTTTCTTATTTCAAAATTAAATGACAAAGTGTTGTTTTGGAGCATTCTGATGATACTCCAGCAGCAGATGCAATTCCTTTTAAAAGAAATATTGATCATTTTTACTGGTCCTTGGAAAGAAAACATCACTATTCTGTTTCTATTATTTTTAGAGACAATAACTGTCTTAGCATCTTTTCATTCAGAACCTCCAACCTGTATTGCAACCTAAAAATGAGATTAAAAATATAGTATATTTCAATATAAATTATCAGGGAAAACTTGGTGCATTGTAGTAAGAATTATGGTGGTTAAAATTACATAAAATATAGCCTTCAAGTTTATAAAGGACGCCATGAAGTCTAGAAAGAAAACACTACATCCTCCCAGGCTTTGATTCCATAGCAATTTTAGTCTTCTGGGTTCATTTTTGTGATACATAGAGCTAAAAGAAATTACTTATTTAATATCTACACCCTCATTGTACAGAATTACTATTGAGTTGTAGTAACTTCAAGATTTATTTTCCTGAAAAAAAGATTTCATTAGTGGTTTTCTGACTAAGTGTTATTGAGTCATTTTAGAGCAAGTAAGAAACACCACAGGTGCTCACACTGGATTGAATAAGGAGTAGAAAACAAGTGATTATTAAGGAAATCACCAGAACTTAAAATTGACTTTGTCTTGAACAATTATGTTAAATTAACTCCAGAAATTCACATTACTGAAGCATATCTCAATACTTTGGTGAAATATTTTACCATTCTACAGCACTTCTCTATGTGTGGGTCATTGTCATTTTACCAGACATCTATCTCCAAAAAAATATTTACATCATGAACCATTACAGTAGCAAAATTACAGTTATGAAGTAGCAATGAAAATAATTTTATGGTTGGGGCTCACCATAGCATGAGTAACTGTACTAAATATAGGGTTACAGCATTAGGAAATTTGAGAACTACTGCTCTATGGCCTTACTCTTCTTTTGAGAAATGAAATACTACATAAAAACAATCAGGACCCAGCAGACGCTGCAATATTTTCACTTTCTGCGAGCGTTCCAGAGAGGTTGGGTCATCTGACTCGGCCTGATCAATAAATCATTGAAGTTAGGAAAATGCATAACTCATGGTTATAAAGATTGAAGAATGGCTATAATCCTCTCCAGCTCTTCATTCCACTACTTGAGGGGTAATAGAGGCCTTGTATTCACAGGTGAAACTACAAGGTAGCAGGACTTTGTTGGTTTATGCATGATTGCCTAACTATATCAGTGATTATGGTATAGAACCTGGATGAGGATATTTGGAGTACTGTGACTTGAAACACCAGCTCACGATTTTCCCTAACTTTTATCTCTGTACTAACCTTTCCAAAGTAGTTTTTTCAGTGGTTCCTCCAGTGTTGCCACAATGATATCTACTAGACATGTCAAACGTGTAAAAAAAAAAAAAAGGTAACCTCATTAACAGCTTCATAATCCAGGCTCTCAATTTTTTTCATGGCAAAATATTAGAAGGGGGTGACAGCTCACAAAACTGGGAACCTGGAGCACACTGCAGCGCCCTCACTTAGCTCAACAGGTTCAAGGGTGCTATTTCTACATGACTACATGACTCAATTTGTCTAAGTCTCTTCCAGGAGGCTCAGATGGTTCCTGCTTCTTCTCAGAACCTGGTTTGCTCTTAGAATCTTCTTTGCAGGTTGGCTTGTCAGAGTTGCCTTCATAGATGACTTATCTGAGAAGGACATTCAGTTTTACTGTTTACTCTAGCAGGATGAAACACAGTGAATCTGATCATTTTTAGGAGCTTCCTGGAGCTATTTTGAGTTGTTTTCCTTCATCTTTAAGGAACTTCTCAGCAGGAAGGAATGTATACATCAATGCATGATCGACCTTGCATAATCAGTTGTTTTCTGAATTTTGATTGGTTGTGGTTATCCGTAATGGTTTTCCTATGTTGAAAGAGAAATTTCTTAATGAGGGATAATAGCTACACTGATTTGAAACTGCAGGTAAAAATCATGCTACTTTAGTCAAATTGACGTTGCAAGTTCTCCTGCAAATCATAAACTTGCTGGTCCCAGTTAGGTAGGTTTACATTATGAGGCATGATTTGCCTCTTGTTGACTGCCTCCAGAATCCATTTAGAATACTGTTTACCTCCAGTATGGTGTTCATGAAATTGCACTCATGTTGATAATTGTACTTCATAGGTATTATAGGTAGGTAGGTAGGACTATTGGCTGCTTTTTCCCTTAGAAATTTAAATGGTACCTCTGGTACCATAAAGGATAGTTTCTATGGAGGAGACTTTCAGGTCAAATCCAGTTTGGGCCTCTGTGTCAGAAGTCTGAATTCCTTTGTGTTTTCATCTGTATGGATTTACCTTCAACTTTGATTGCTTCTGTTAAGTAGTATCAAATTCATATACATTGAGTATTGTGGTTCAAATTTTTTACTGATGTTAGAATGAAGATCATAATTATCTTAGGTAGGTTTTTCCGTAGTGGATACTTAGAGAGTATAAGAGTTTGGATTTCCTAAGTTCCAGAAGACAGGAAAACAAAATGCCCTAATTTCATGTTAAATATTGAAATGTTAAACATATGAGTGTGTTTTGTACCATAAATAGAATGGAGAAAGAAGAAATCATTTTAGCTGAGCACAGAACGTTTGAGCTAATCTTTAGTGCAATTACTGGCAAATACAAGTTATAAGTTAAAATTATTAGGTGAGAATATGAAAACATTAATAAAGTACAGCCTATATACATTAGTGCTATTATAATTAATTAAAATAAAATATATGAAACAACAAAACCTGACTTAAAATATATGAGAAAGAGGGCCATGTCCAATTCCTCTCTATTCACAACAGTCAGAACTATGTAGCCAATCAGAGTTGTATGAAATGATGTCATATTAATTATTTACATATGAAAAGAGTAAATTAGTTAATATTTGAGTGAAGAATTTATTTTTGATATTTGATAACTTCAGTATAAACATTAAAAGGCCTTTTATTTTGTTATTTGCATTAGCAGCTGCACTCAGAGGCAATATGAATAAAGATTTGCACTTTCTTCTCGTCAATTGAAATATTAATAACAGTAAGAGTTATTCTAAAACCTACCGATTATTTTATCTTATAATCCTTAGTATTATATTTAGTATTAGAAGTTTGCTTGGAATTCTGGTTGTTTTAATGCAAAGTTTCTCACTTAACCCACTCTGAAATTATCCTTTCATTACGTATATGAAAATGACTCAGGGCTCTGAGCACTCAACGTTACAGGACACATCTAAACCCATTGATTTTCTCAGTCACAATGCAGTGATTATATGTTTCATTCATCATTTCCTGCTGATACCTCAATTTTAGTCTAGTGTTCATAACAGATTTTATATAATCTGTATAGATACACAATATCTCACCATCAGAGAATGGCTCAGATTACTTAACTCTGGTTCATATTCACAGGCAAAAATTAGAACAGGTCTTGAGGCTGAATTTTGTATGTCATCACCTCAAACCAGCTAAATTCATTAATAAAGATATCATATGCTATGAATCAATGAGAAATATAGACGTGGATGTGTTCAGTAGTTTTTTTCCACAAAAGGTCAAATTTATATCAGTTGGTACAAATGGTCTGCTGTCTATAGACATGGTTTCTGTCCTCAGCTTCAAGGCAGGGTTGTTCTATCATCTATGAAAATGCAGAGGGAATACTGCATGCTGATCATACTATTTTTTTATTTGGTTTTTACGAGACATGGTTTCTTTTATTGTTTTGGAGGCTATCAGTCCAGCCTGGCCTTGAACTCACAGAGATCTGCCTGCCTCTGCCTCCCAAGTGTTGGGATTAAAGGCGTGTGC